TTTTAATTATTTTTTAAAGTCAAAATTAATATATATTATCTTTTTTAAATTCTTAAAGAAACGGTTGGGGCACTTAATGTCAAGAGTTGTCTCCCATGTAGTAATTTCTGTTTTAACAGGGGCACTCAGGTCCTAATGTTTGGGTAATCACCCTCCTTTTAAAAAGGGTTTGCCCTTGTTGGGCCACAACATTTAGGAAGAAGCTCATTAACAGCCCATTAATTAAGTGAAATTCTGGTTTAATCAACCGGTTCACCGGGTCAATCTCAGTCTCCAAAGCTCAGTGCGGATTATAGGGCTAATCCGGACCAAAAATGTGATCGGTTCCTTGTTCGGATGGAAGTTTTATTTTTATTTTTATTTTTATAAATATATATCTTGAATTATAGAACGAAAATTAATCTTATTTTATCATTTAATCAGTGTTATTTATATATTATATAATTTAAATTTAAAATTTTTTATTTTTATTAAAAAATTATTATTAAATTATTTAAATAATTAATCGATGGATTTAAAAAAAGAATTCAATCTGCATTGCTACCCTACTAACACAGCTCTCTAGAAAAGATGACATCCGGAGCTCTGTTCATTATAGCGACAAGAAACTCGCCAAATCTCATCCTATATTTTCAAGATGGTTTTCTCTTATTATGAAAACATCAATTTTTTCATTTGCTATCTCCTATACGCTGATTTAAAAGGTGACAATACATAGGAAAACAATGTGAAAGATGGAAAACAAAGAACCCTCTCTCCATCTCACAATTATCCAGTTTAATAAGGTACACTTCATTCATTCAATCCTATCCATCTACTTGTCTGGGGACACCCACTTAGAGATAGATCCAATCCCACTTTCATTGTTCCCATTTTGTTCATTGGAAGGGGGAACTGCAACCTCAAAAAGCTTAACAATAGTGCAAGCACTCTCCTAATCGATATCATGAGATAACCAAATTGAGTGTTGGAAGATGACTATCTCTTATTGTATTATTTCCGATTAAGTATACAAAAGTTAAACTAAATTAATGATAAAGTTGGATGGAAAAGTTTCCTCTTTGAGCAGTAGACTTACCCCTCCATAGCATACCTTGAAGAATTTCAGTTTTGGACTGGCCCCGTAGCATGCTAATCAGGATTTGCTAAACAGGGCCGTATCTCTTTTCGTCAAATTGTAGTTAGCTCATTGTGATTTGCAGGATTAAAGTTCAAATCAAAAGTGAATCATTTCAATGATTGAAAAGTTTGGTCAGTGCCCATCAACTCGCATGGCTCATCAATATCTCAAGGTCAATTTTCATCAAAGGGGATTCCGTAAATCTCTAAACAAGATTATTGTTCACAAAGTAATGACCTGTGAGAAAAGAAGCTTTTAGGCTTGTAGCCTTTCACCAATTTGAAGAATATTATAAAGTAAACCACCCAAGGGTCATAGGATTGGGCCCTTAGGCCATCAGAAGGAGAATGGGGAAATCTTCAAATCATTCTCAATTGGAAACAATGAATTCTTCCCAAACCGGTCATGGATTTTCGCCTGATACATTGGAAAATTGTTCTTAGAATTTTGCACTAGAGCTCCATAGCCTCTGAGATCTTTGAAATTCAACTAAAAATTGAGAAGGGAAACATGTTACCCTTTGATAAGAAAGCGGCGTGATCACCTGGCGTCACATTGGCCCCCTTGGAGAAAAAAAAAAGGTAGTGAGCCAGGTTTCAGCTGAAGGTGGTCAAAAGAACTTTGAAAAGAAATTTATGGGTTTTGTTTTCATGGTGGAGCCAGATTTGGTCAGAAATAGACGATACCCTCCCTAGACCTTACCCAAATATTAATATCAAGACGCATCCATAGAAGGTATCTCCAAACTTTTGGACAATGGTTATAAATCAAACCTACTTGATAAGAAATAAAGTCGATGGCTTTCTCCCAAGTCCTAAAAAGTCTCTCTAATACTCTTCAATTCTATATATATATAAAACACAGAGGTCGAGGTTGGCCTTGGACAGATAACAAATTGCAAATTAGACACGAAAACTAGAAGAAGGCATCAAAACAATCATGGTAACAAGGGTATTCAAATATTTTGCCGCCCCACCCAACACCACCACCCCCTCCCCTCCTCTCCCCGCACCTCCCTCCCCGCCGCCGAAAAAAAGGGAGTATTCGATTATAGTTATGTAATCACGAATTCGGAATAATCTTGATACCATCTTAATGGAGTGACTTACAATTACCATCTTAATCGTCACAAACCCGTCTCATGGTATCTAGAGCATGGAGGTCCTAGTCTCTTCACAACTACTTCAAAGTTGTTGAAAGGATACCCACTGAAAGAATTTTATAGTGAAAAACTTAGAAACGGGAATTAAGAAATTTTGTGATCTCATGCTTGTGAATAATCTTGAGATTTATCAGTCTATGCAAAGCACAATAGAATCTCAAAGAAGATCAGAGATGAGTATACTTAAGGTGAAGTTAATGGAATCAATTTCTTTACCAAGAAAAGTATTTTGTTCTTTTGTTTTTTTTTTTTTGGCCGAAAAGTATTGTGTTATTATTGTACACAGAAAGAGACAAAAACAGAAGGGTAATTGTAGTATTGTAGCAACTGTCACTACCTTTGTGCTTCCTATCACAAAGAACAGTGTACATCTCAAGGCTTAAGCTATGGAACATTTAGGGGACTCCGCCCATGCAAATTATTCAAACACTCTCCAGCCTCACAAATTTCAGATGCACCATATTTGGAAAAGAGAGGTTCAAGGTTTCCATAAAAAGGAGCTATATGAAATAGAAAGGTACCATAGATGGTTATCTTCACAATGTAGAAGCTGGAAATACTAGTCAGGGTGCCAATCGAGAAACTTTCCATATGCGTTTTCCACTGACCTCTTGAGGGGAATATTGCAACCTGCCAAAGAGTATATGTAGTACAAAAAATTTAATAAACCACAGGTTGTGAAGTTATGGATTATATTTACATGATACAATGCTCTCTTACAGTTGAATAAACCATCTGTCCATGGAATATTTTCAGCTAAAAGATAAAGACTAAATCCTGTCTCAGAAAATTTTCATCCATGAATTATCATTTAATTGGTTGGTTTTATCACAGAATTTTAGTACTATTGCAAATGATAAGTAAAAGAACTTAAATTTCTTCAAGCATTGGTCTAAGATTTATAAGCTGGTCTAGGATTCAGTCTGAACCCTAATTGGATACTTATTAAATGGGCTACCTGATAACCTAATTTCATTTTAACTCCAATGAAATTGGTTTGATCTTAGAATTAAAATTTCAGACAAAAAACATAATATTAGAATTAATATTGGCCAAAATCCTTTTTCCCTTCACATTTTACCCATCAATTAACAGGAAAAAGGTTGCAACAAGTCAAATAGAAATAAACAACCTGTCATGCAAACGTGACGGCTGTCCCTGCCAAAACTCAATAAGCTCAGGTTTAAGTCTGTATCCACCCCAGTGCTTTGGTTTTGGAATCAAACTTCTGCAAAAAAGGAAAAAGAACAAAGGATTTTAGTTTCAACTTCCTTTGAATTTATGAGCTTTCTATGTTTCCATCTGTAACATCCCATTTTTTCTTGTCAACTGTAACATCCCAATTTAGATAATAAATTTTTTGTCAAAATTTAGATAATGATTCAATCTAAAGTTCATTCAAATGAGCACTTCATTCAGAAGGACAAGAGGATGCCAACTAGTGAACCATCAGACTGAACTGAACACAGAAGAATATTTGAATCTCCATACATGATCAAAAGATGGAAGAAAAGAACAAACCAATTTATCACTGTTAAATGTTACAAACATAACCTTACCCATCAGAATATTTTTCCTCTAATTCTTTGTATTCATGATGCAGAACAAGCCTTCCAGGAATCACGGTACTCTGAAACAAGAAATTGACATTTAAAATTTTCTTAATTCTATCATATTTATCCCATACATTTTACCCACAAAAAAAAAAAAAAAAAAAAAAAACTACAAGCCTGCTGGCTAACAACAGCTCCAAGCTGACTTCCTTGAGGACGGCTGTGGAAGTACTGTTCGGATTCTTCATCAGAAACTTTCTGTACAGATCCCTCCACCCTTACCTGGAAATTACAATTCATTTTAGTCCTCATAAAAGAAATCTATTAATGAGTAAATAATCACAAGCAAAGAGAGTAACTTTCTGTTCAGGACTGCAGCAAACTTATCATTGTGGCTAGAATATAGATAGCATTTTGGCAAAAGTTAAATCAATTTATATAATCTACAGGTCTAGAACCCTTTCCCATTCTCACTTCCAATGTTTAGATTCATTGAAAAGGCTATTAGTTATGCCATTTGGTTTAGGCACAATTCAAAAATATACATTGTATCAAGTACTTACAGGACCCCAGAATGTTAAATTTTCAGGCAGTATTCTTTTAGCCAAGCTCTATGCCAAGTTCAGGGATAAGAAAAGTCAACATTTATTAATGCATGCAATGGATAGTCCAACAAGCATTGTTAAAACTAGTTCCACTCTCAAACAATCACGAATTGCAGAGCCACATTGATGAAAACCAAAAATTGAAAAATTCTACATGAGAGAAAAACCTCAATATATTATAACTGGTTTAACAACCTTCTAATTTCAATTATTTAATGCCTAACATCTTGAGGCAGAAGAAGAATGATACAGAAATTGATATCAGAATAAGGTAAACTATGTGATTGCAGTTGCATATATGAATCAAAACTTTTGGAAGAATTTGCTGCTTTTGCATTGTAAGTCGTAAGTCATGCAATATTCACAATTTCACATTGTATCAATGTGATTTACTTCACCTATGAAATGTTAAAAAAAATAAAATCCATATTTTATATATATATATATATATATAAAACCAATAAACACAAGTAAACATGTAACTATCACTACCTGCCGGTGAAGACCTTCCCAGTAAAAAAGAAGTGATGCATTTGGATTTTCTGATAACTGATGGCCCTTTCGACTTTCATAATTTGTGTACCTGCTTAGAGTGATTAGACCAGAATGATTACAGATAACAGATTGCTGCAGAAAACCACTATTAAGTTTGAACCGCATAAGGGTCCATAACAGAGATAGAATAACACTAACCAGACAAAACCATCCCTATCAACTCCTTTTAGCAATACCATTCTTGATGAGCTGCAGCAGACAATAACATGGTTTAAAAGAGACGAAAAGTCACCTAATTCCTTGTATGAATAAATCAGAAAGATTTTTAAACTGAAAATAAGTTTACGTACATAATCTAATTGATCTTTAAATGAAATTTGATGGTTATCATATCACCATATCTATTTCTACAGGGATATCCAGAAATATTCAAGATGTAAGGTATGAACTGTGGATAGTTTTAGAATCATGCTCCACCATCCAACATTGCCATACTCAATGCATTTCCATAAACAACAATTAATGAATAAACTAAAACAAAGAAGCATACGGTTTTCCATCCTTGCCAGTTGTTGACAGACACATGGCATTGGGCTCCCGCAGGCCAGCAGCCACTGCATCATCAAACCATTTACGAAACTGCAAGATAAATATATAGCTAACTCATTCTGCAATTAACAGATTTGATAATAGATTGTGAGAAACAATATATGTCAGTCTTATTCTTGAATCAAGTAAATGTATACTCAATTTATGCGGCAAAGCCCAAATCTTATACATAGGGGAGCCATCTAAGAAATGTGCTCTACATGGGCACTGTTGAACCCAGCATTTGGCCCATCTCTTTGATAAAAATCGAATGGATATCATTGTACTTGAATTCGTACCTGATCAATAGGATCAACCTCTAGCTGCTCCTCAAGAAGTGCTGGAGAGATATAGTTCTCTCTAAGAGCTGATATGTCAACTTGTGGCGGCTTTCCTATTCGGACACACATAGATGTACCAGGATATGGAGGGAGATGAAGGTTGTATTTCTGTGCAATAGATGGAGGGACAAATCTACCACCTAGAAAGTGGTGTGGACCACGAAATTTCTTGGCACATAATTTTGGAGCAGTTAAAGAAACCTAGCAAAAACTAAAATTGCATAAGAAAATTTACTAAGATAGAGAACACAAGTAATTGGCTTAAGTATAACAAAGAAAATAAGAAAAGAAAAGAAAGTAAATTACAAGCTTCCAAAATTATTCATACAGAAAAACAACAAAGACTATGTAGAAGACATACCAACATGTCAGGTTTAATTCCTTCACTGGTAACATCTCCTTCCTCGACATGCCACCCAGATGGTATATCTACAGATACAATAACTGGGGATTTTTGCCGTGTTTGATCATAATTGTGTAAGTAAATTAGCCTTTGGATCAGATCATCAAAAGGTGGTCTGGGTGTACCTAAAATATTTTAAATTGTTAAATTTAAAGACTGTTCAGCAGAAAAAGGAAATGTAGATAATGATGTAGACCAATGATTAATAGAATGCTTGTAAAAATATATAGAAAACAATAAGAGACATGTTTTCAAAATTAAGAAATATAAATCTTATGCTAGAAGAAGATGATATTAGCACATGGCTCTGCCACAGTTCATCCAACAGTATTTTTTTTTTCTTTTTCTATTTAGCTTTCAAAAATAAATTGTATCAAATACAATCTCTAACTGTTTCTTCATAATTGGGCAGTAATAGGAAGAATCACAGGGTATTGTCCTCACTATTGTTACAACAACAGAAAGAATATGTGGGTATGAAATATGAAGTACCAGAAAACTTGAGAAGTTACCATGGAATGAGAACCCAAACATTGCATCTACTAAAATGTCAAAGTCCTTTGACAAATCTGCAGGCAGGTCATCCACTGACAAGAACTGGATTGACAATGATTCCAGCTATAAAAGCATAGCCATAAGTAAGAACACTGACAAACCATATGAATCATACTAGAATATAAAATATATATAGATATAGATATAACATGAGCTCTCAATCCTACCTGAGTCACCAGACCATTATAAAGAGGCTTGGGGGTATGCTTTGGATAGCAAACAAATGGCTTATACCCAAAATGATACAGATGACGAGCAGCTACCAACCCGTCACCGCCATTATTCCCAGGACCACATATAGCAAGAACACGACTATACTCAGCTGGTTTATAGACCTGTATACAATGTTCATTTTGTAGACAAGAAGCAACAAAAAACCTAAACAACCTAAAGCAGTTTTTAGATTGAAATAACACAAGTAATATTTTTACACAACAAATATTTCAAATCAAATAACATGGTGACAGAAAACACACTGAAAATTGATTAGCAATTGGAGCAATTTCATTTGCCAAATACTTTTTAATGCAAGCTCCTATGTAATAGAGATTTCTAGCACTAGAAGTACTGGAATTAAATCCCTAATTCTAGTATCAAAAATCTGTAATTACTATGAACTCAGAACAAGGAAATCAGCATGTTTCAAGCAAAGGATATAATGTTCTGCCAAAGCTAGACAAACACACATTACCTCAGCTATTGATGTGGCGACGCTCAATCCAGCCAGCTCCTACAATTACCATCAAATATCAAGCAAGCAACACCATTAAGCATCAATAAGAAAATGGAATTAATGGAATCAAAAAACCGACCATCAACTGATCGACGCTAAAGCCGAGAGGGCCCATGAGAGTCTCATCTATCTCCGCCGCTTCTAGCTGCGTGAGGTAGGACACATAGTCCTGATTCTGTAGCTGCGACGACGCCATTGCTCCTCCGGATTTTGAACAGAAAGCACGGAAAGCAGGAGACGAAATTGAAGGCGGAAAAGAAGGGGAAGATTTTAGTGCGGAGAGTGTGGGAAGAGAGTTGTAGAGGGAGCGAGGTGGTTGGGGTTTGGAAGGGGAAGATGAGCTATGGGAAGAGAAAGGCAGTGACCGGATGAGGAATAAGCATCGCATTCTTCTGCGTGCAACTGGCCACATTATCTTTTTTGTAGTACCGAGATTCATTTTTGGTAGTGGTTTTCTTCTGGAATATAACCGGTTTGAAAAATGGTATTTTTACAATATTGTATATTATTATAAATTTATGAGAAAAATTGAGGGGTTTTAATATTAAAAATATTAAAATATTTCATTATAATTATTAAACAAATAAAATATAATATAAATTTTAAATTTATCAAATTTATTATGTAATTATTATTAGACATTTTAGATGCCAAAATGTATTAATTTTTTTTGTAAATTTATTAGTACAATATATTATTATATAT